ACCACACTTAAACCATAGCAGAAACCTTTGATTTCTTTTCTGTTTCTATGAATTAGCCTATTCTAAGTATCTAATATCAGTGGAATCATAACAATATTTGTCCTGTGCCAGGTTGATTTCACATAGCCTATTCTCAGAGTCCATCAGTGTATCAAACATTTCATCTTGGGGTTAGCACTGATTGCTTATGATGCTGGAATCCCATATTCCAGTGCTACTTTACCTCCTGGCCTCTCTGCTTCTGCTCCAGCTCCTTGCTAATGCGCCTGAGAAGACAGCAGGAAATGGACCACACACTTGGGCTCCGACCACCCATGTGAGAGACGCGGGTGGGGTTTCTCACTCCTGCCTTTAACCTAGCTAAGCCCTGGCTGTTGCATGCATTTGGGGAGAGGACCAGCAGATGGAAGTTTCTCTCCCTCTCTGATGTTTTGCCTTTCAAGTAAATGAATAAATGAACCTGCTTGGAGACACACAGTTGCCTTAGCAGTCAAGCTGCCAGTTAAGATGCCTGCATTTCATATCAGTGTGCCTAGGTTTCAGTCCAAGTTTGATTTCTGATTTCAGCTTCCTGCTAATGTGTGCCCTGGGAGATGGATGGCTATGATTCAAGTAGTTGGATTCCCTAACACTCCTATGGGAGACTTAAGTTAAGCTCCAAGCTCCTGGCTTCCATTGGTGGATGTTTAGGAGAGTTCTGTGGATGTTTAGGGAGTAGACTAACGTATGGAAGCTCTGCCTTTCTCTGTCTACTGCTCAGATAAGTTAAATATGTAAACATTAGAAATGATATTCTGTATGTGTATGCTGTATTTTGTTTATTCATTCATCTGTTGATATCCATTGGGATGTTTGTAGCTGTTGACAATTGTGAACAATGCTGTTATGAGCATTGACATGTAAATATCTGTTCAAGTGTGTTTTCAGGTCTTCGAGTATAGCTAGCAGAACAATTTCTGGATTGTATCACCCTTCTATGCTTGCTTTTACTTATTTATTCGTATATTTCTTTGTCTATTTTTATTTGAGAGATTTAAAGAGATAAGGAGAGACAGAAAGATCTTTGATCTACTGGTTTACTTCTCAAGTGGCCAGACAGCCAGAGTTGAACCAGTTTGAAGCCAGGAGCTTTTTCCAGTTCTCCCATGTGGGTTCAGGGGCCCAAGGCCTTGGACTATTCTTTACTGCTTTCCCAGGCCACAAGCTGGGAGCTGGATGGGAAGTGGAGCAGCCTGGACTTGAACCAATCCATTTGGGATGCTGGCAGTGCAAGGCTGAAGATTAACCTATTGAACCACTGTGCTGGTCATTGATTTGTAATTATTCCTAACATTCTGTAGGTTGTCTTTTCAAGGTTCCTTAAAAAAATAAAATAAATAAAGATCCTGCCTTTGAAAAGCAGAGAGAAAGAGAAATAAGTCATCCACTGGTTAACTTCCCAAAATGGTCAAGTGACTGGGAATGGCCTTGGTTGAAGCCACAGGCCTCATTGTCCATCCAGGAGCCCAGGTCTTTGGTTCCTTCTCTGTTGCCTTCCAGGATCATTAGCAGGGAGCTGAAGCAGAAGCGGAGCAGCCCAGATTAGGACTGGAGCCTCAATGTGAGATGCTACCATTGTAGGTGGCAACTTAGCTCACTGCACCATGATGCCAGCCCCTCAAGGATTATTTCTTCTCTTTTAGATTTATTTTTTATTGCAAAGTCAGATATATATACAGAGAGGAGGAGAGATAGAGAGGAAGATCTTCCATCCGATGATTCACTCCCCAAGTGACCGCAACGGCCAGTGCTGAGTCGATCAAAAGCCAGGAGGCAGGAGCTTCCTCCAGATCTCCCACATGGGTGCAGGATCAGTGGACTTTGTTGATACTCATTGGCTCCTCGACTGCTTTCCCAGGCCACAAGCAGGGAGCTGGATGGGAAGTGGGGCTGCCAGGATTAAAACTGGTGCCCATATAGGATCCTGGCGCATTCAAAGTGAGGACTTTAGCCGCTAGGCCACAACGCTGGACCCTATTTCTTTTCTTAAAAAAAAAAAAAGAGAGTCATAGAAACAGGCAAGTATTCCTATCGGCTGCCCCTGTCCCCAGATGCTTACAACACTTCCTTGCTAAGACTGGAGATGGGAGGTGGGACCCCAATCCTAGTCTCACACATGAGAGGCAAAAAAGGAAGGGGGAATTGCCTGTACACTTGTCTGAAGGCAGACCAACCATGTGTGCTTCAGCCTTCACCTCCCAAGGTCTGTGTTGGCGGGATGTGGAACCAGGAACAAGAGGCAAGCACTGAGCCCAGGCACACAGACCTAGGATGAGGACACCCCAACTGCTGTCTTCACTGTAAGGAAGCACAAAGGCTGTTACTTCTGATCAATTCCACTTTGTCTTTCTTTTCCTCCTATGCCTATGCTCTTAGTATCATATCTGTGAAATTATTTTTAAAATAAAATAAAAAGAGATCTTCCAAGCCCAGTGCAATGGCTCAATGGCTATTACCTTGTGAGCTCCAAGATCTCACATGGGCACTGGTTCAAGTTTCACCTGCTCTACTTTCCATCCAACTCTGTGCTATGGCCTGGGAAACAACTGAGAATGATCCAAAGCCTTGGGCCCCTGCACCGACGTGGAAGACCTGGAGGAAGCTTCTGGCTTCAGATCTGCTCAGCTCCGGCCATTGTGAAGCAGTGGATGGAAGATCTTTCTGTCTGTCTCTCCTCTCTATACATCTGATTTGCCTTTCCAATAAATAAATAAGTAAATAAATATAGTTTTTTTTTAAGAGATCTTTGATTTGCTGGTTCACTCCTCAAATGGCTACAACAGCTAGAGCTGAGTAGATCTGAAGCCAGGAACCAGGAGCTTCCACCAGTTCTCCCATGCGGGTGCAGGGTCCCAAGACTTTGGGCCATCTTCCACTGTTTTTCCAGATGTATCAGCAGGGAACTGGATTGAAAGAACAGTCAGGACTCAAACTGGAATCCATATAGGACGCAGCGCCATCTACATCATGCTTAGCCTACTATATCATGGTGCCAGTTCCTATCTCTTATCTAGTCTTTATTTTCTTCCTTGTGCTTTTTGTGAGTTTATTTTGCCTTTAAAAATTTTAAGATTTATTTTTTACTTGAGTTACAGAAAGAGGGAGATATCTTCCTTTTTGCCAGTCCACTCCACCAGTGGTTGCAATGGCTGGAGCTGAGCTGATTCTAAGCCATGAGTCAGGAGTCTCTTACATGGTGTAGGAGCCCAAGGACTTGGGCCATTTCCACTGCTTTCCCAGAGGATAAGCAGGGAGCTGAATGGAAATGGAGCAGCTGGGACTCAAACTGGCATTCATATGTGATGCTGGCACTGAAGATGGCAGCTTAATGTGCTGGACCACAGCGCCAGCCCTCTGTAGTTGCCTTTACCAGTGCTCTTTGTCACATGAATTTGGATTACTGCCTAGTTTCCTTTACTTCAGCTAGAAGGACACTTTTCGAAGTATTTTTGGTAGGGCATGTTTGCCAGCAATAGATTCTTCCAATATTGTTCCTCTAGAATATCTAGATTTCTCCTTAAAATTTTAAAAACGATTGATGTATTGGAAAGGCAGTGTTACACAGAGAGACAGAGATCTTCCATCCACTGTTCATTCCCTGGATGGCTACAATGACCGGGGCTGAGTTAGGAGCTTCATCTGAGTCTCCTGTGTGGATTGCAAGGGCCCCAGTACTTGGGCCATCTTCCACTGCTTTCCTAGGTACATTACAAGGCATTGGATCACAAGTGGAGCAGTTGGGGCATGAGCTGGTACCATTTGGGATGCTGGCATGGCAGGCAGCAGCTTTACCCACTACCTCACATTGCTAATCTTTCATTTTTGATATAGTGATGCTAGGTATAGAATTTTGTCCCAATTCTCTGTGTGTAAGGCTACATGGCATTAAATGACCATCTAAAAAGGGTACAGTTCAGATGTCAGGGTAACCACAGTGCCATCTTTGAGGCTTTGCCCGTAAAGTGCCTGTGCTTGTGCCAGGCTTGGCTTTTAGGATCTTACCATCCTAGCCCCAGAGTGTGCCAGGGAAAATGTGGCAAGCTCATTATGGATAGCCCAGGACCATCACCTCAGCTTTCTAAAGGTGACGAGGGCCATGGAGGGAGTTGGACAAAGGCACTGCACACGGCCTCCTCCCTCTACCCCCTGCCCCCCCCCAGGGTTCGTGGCTCTTTATCAGAGGCCATATTTTTAAAATACTTTATTTTTTCCATAATACTGTCATTACAAAAAATACAAAAAAAAAAAAAAAAACTACTATAAAAACCTTCAGGGCTTGTCAAGGTGAGAAGACCTAAAGCCCCCACCCCAGGACCTGGCCGAAGCAGGCCTCCCTCAGCTCCTTCCCTCTTTGACCCTTTGTACAACAGTGGGAGTTGGGCGGGGTCGCCTATGCACCCAAGGGCTGGAAGTCCCCCCACACGGCCTCCAAGGAGGGTGAGAAAGAAGTAGCTTCACATATCACAAAAGTGGGAAGTTGGAAGTTTGGGGTAGCTAGACCCTGAGTTCAGAGGTGTGGGGAGAAACCTGTGACCCTGAATCTCCTGTGGTGGGGGTGGGGAAGAGCTACCACCTGACCCCTGGCCCTGTTTCCTCCTGATGAAGGCTGGGAAATGAGTCAAGTCCCCAACCTCCTTGACTTCCATCAAGCATTCCCAAGAGCAGCAAGGAGGACAGGCTTCCCAGCTCTGTCAGGTAAGGGCAGGGCAGCCCTCTGGGAGGCAGCCTAGGGTCGGTTCATCTCCCTGTGACAAATGCAAAGTGTCTTGTGCTCGGGGCCCTGACCACAGGTGGTGGGCCTGGCTGATCTATCTCTTGTTCCCTCCCTCCCCATCCCGCACCTCCTGGAGAGGCACCCACAGCTCTAGGTGAGTCCTTCCTGTGCGTGAATGTGTGCAATAACCTCAGACGTGGTGAACCCGGGGGTCAGGGCGGGAGAGCAGCGTCTTTTCTGGCTTCTTCCTCCTTCAACCAGAGGAAGCCAGAGGGGCAGTTGGGGTAAGGTGAGAGGGGAAGGACATGCTATTTACAGGCGTGGACAGGGAACTTATCTCTGCAAGGAGCACTCTGCTCACTTTGCAGCCACTAGCGTGGGAGCTGGATTCAAAGCTTGTGACATAAATGCTGACCCCCGGTCTGGGCTGGCTTCCACTTCCTCAAGGCAGCCCAGCTCCCAGAGGGGTCAGGGACAGGAGCATCTTCCTGGAGATCAGTGGCTGGTTTGTTTTTGTTTTTGTTTGTAGTTGGGTTTTTTTTTTTTTTTTTGCATGTTAGAAAAATGTTGCCAGTGTCCAGTGACCAGGAAACTGGGTGCACACTGGGTGGGTGAGTGGGGGGAGGGTATTGCTGTGGTAGACTCTGGATGGGTAGGGGACTAAGCCTAGGAACAGGGCAGGTGCTGCTTAAGGATCTGTCGGGTCTGTGGTGTCAATCTGTCCGGGAAGCGAACTTTGAACTCAACGATGAGGTCTCCCCGCTGGGTGGGCACCTTGGGGAAGGGAAGGCCTTCCCCACGGAGTCTCTTCACGGTGCCAGGCTTGATGACATCATTGCAGGGCAGAGGGATCACTCGGCCATCGATGGTGGGAATGTTCACGGTGCAGCCACACAGCGCCTGCCGAGAACAAGGAAGAGGGTGAGGAGGTGACAGGGAGTGGGAAGGAAGGAAAAAGATGGAAATGGGGAGAGACTGAGTTAGTTGGTGGGAGGGGAGGGAATGGCCCCTGTCATCCCCTCCCCTTCCCCACACACGCATGTGCACATACATACACATAGACACACACGATCTACCCAGACCCCACCTCCTTGAGGCTGATTAGGGCACTGTAGAGCACGTTGGTGCCGTCTCGGCGGAAGTGAGCATGGGGCTTGTCTTTGAGCACAAAGACGATGTCAGCAGGGATGTTGTCGGGCGTCGCGTCCCCCTCTTTGGGGAAGGTGATCTTGGTGCCTTCCTTCCAGCCGCGCTTGATGACAATGTGCAGGATCTTGTCCTCCGTGCGCACAGTTCGCCCATCGGGGTTGAGGCGCCGCCGCGTGATCTTCATGCGCTTCGTGGAGCCATGGTAGATCTCCTCCAGGGACACGCGCAGCTCGTGCACCACAGGGGGGTCTTGCACTTTGCGCCGAGGGTACAGAGGCTCTGGGGCTCGCCTTGGACCCCTGCTCAGCCCATTGAAGCCAAAGCGGCCAAACGCACCAAATGGGTCCTCATCTTCGTCCACATCCATGTCGTCTGGGTCGAAGCCACTGAAGGGCCGAGTGGAGCGGCTGCTGGCAAAGAAGATATCGAAGGGGTTGGAGCCACCAAAAAAGGAGGCAAAGGTGGCGTGGGGGTCCCCGTGGAAGGTGTAGTGAAAGGAACCGCTGGAGCCACCTGATGTGCCACCGCCAGTCTTCAGGCCTGCAGGGGAGGAAAAGTGAGGACATGTGGCTCCTCCTAGCTCCGCTTGGTGCTCCCCCACCCAACTCCCCTTCCTGGGACTGGGAACTCCCATAGGGAGGGCTTGGCTGACAGAATAAGAGGCTTTCCACAGGATCTCCACTGTCAGCCTCACAGCAAGCATCTTGAAACTCAAAGAAGGGAGTTAGCAAACAGGTGGGAAAGAGACAGACAGGAAGAGATCTCCACTCCTCTCATCTTTTCCACAGAACCCTGGCCCGGAGATGTGCCCCAAGGCCTCGAGGGGCTGGCCTAGTGTCCTAGTACAGGGCAGACCTGAGGCAGTTGGACCACGCGGCGTGCTGGGAAGTGACCTGCCTCCACTGAGGAGGGGGCACAGCCAGAAAGCTTGCTGCCCCTCTGCTTTCCTTGGTTCCTGCCTAAATGGGAAACCAGGAACGCTCAGAAGAGTGGGACAGCGCATGAACTTGGAGGAGCTCCTTTTCTAGTAAAAAGCCTTTAAATCCTTTGTTCCCACACTCTGCCCACAGAGTCGCACAATGCTGGGGAGTGTCATTCACACATTGTGCAGCCACGGAACACAACAGGAACACAGGAGCAGCTGCCTGCAGTCACTGCCCGCCTAGCGCTCAGCAGCCACGGAGATGAATGGGCTGGCGCTGTGTGGGTGGTGACCCCAGCTGCCCGTGGAGCTCAAATTCCAGGGGGCAGCCTGGGGGTGGAGGGGAGGTGGAAGGGGTAGGGAAAGGACTCCTGCTGGGAACTGACCCACAATTTGCCTGCTGATGGGTGGGGCCTTGCCCAAGGACAGGGTTCCTTCTCTTTGAGGCCCTCCTCCTTTTCCCCCCTAGAATTTCAATTGGCAGCCTGAGCCTAAATTAACCTTTCATTTCCTGGGACCACAGGGAAGATTTGGATTTCATTAGAGGGGCCAAGTGGCAAGGAGTCCAGGGACTTAGGGCAGCTGTTTCTTCACCCCCTCCCTACCAAGACTTGGGGTTCATTCTTTCTTCCTGGTAAGGGCTGCTTATCAAGCAAGTTCAAGAAGCATGGCAGAGCCCAGAGAAAGAAGGCAGGCAGGCTGGGAAATGGATGATGCCAGGAGGGGTAATTCTCACTGCAGGGATTCCTGCTCTGCCACCACCACCCTCTTTTTCCAAGCTGGGAACAGCTTGTCCCCAGACACTAGAGTCTGTGCATGCAACTGCCTGGGCTGGCACTGGGAGGGAGCAGCGAGGACGGACGCATAACCGCCATCTTCAAGCTGTCTTCCCTAGCGCAGGGCTGGGGATCAGTGGCTGGTCCTCGTGTCTGCATCTAGGAAGTTCCCTTTGCTTAGGTATGGTCATGCCAGAGAGCTGGTGCTTTGGAAGTAGCTCTCTTGAGCACCTAAATGCTGGTAAGGCCTTGGAGATGAGTGCATGCGACTCAGAAATGGGTCATATGGCTCTGGTGTCTGCACTGCCCCTACTCCCAACTTTCTCCTGCCCCAAACAAAAAAAAAAGTCTTAGCTGGTGCTGCCAGCAGGGCCTGGTGAGTCTGGGAATTGGCCAGTCTAGGAGGTGAGCAGGAAAGCCATGAAGGAACTCATTGTACAGAGACTGAGAGGGGTTTGGGAGGTTGGGGTGCCAAGAGAGTAGGGGTCAGAAAAGTCTGGGCCACAGATCAGGAGGAGAGGAGGGGGAATCTGCCCTGTGCCCCACTTGGGGTCAGGCTTGGTGCATAGCATTAGCCCTTTTACTCGGTGAAATCGAGGTGGATGCCTCTGGGGAGGAAGGGCAGTTCTCCTAGGAAGGAGAGTCCGCAGCTGTGACAATGTCTCTTAATATAGCCTAACAGGTGCCTGTGGCTGGCGGTGGCAGGCGGCCCTGAGGGGCAGACCCAGAATTAGCAGCTACATCATGCCCGTGGGATGTGCTGGGAGGGGCCATCGCTCTGAAGCTTTATTTGGGCCTTTCCTGCCACCGGCCTGGTGCCCAGGCACCCCAGGGGAAGAAGGGGGGGATGCTAGGAACAGTTCCCCTTCCACCCTGGGAGTCTTGCCACTTCCTCTGGGTGGCTGGGTCCCTCACCGAAAGTGAGCAGGGAGACATGGAGTGAAAAGGAAGGGGCCATGCATTTCTGCTCAGAGCTGGGGGCAGGTGTGGCGGGGGGAGGGGGGGGAACTGGTGTTCTGCTCCCTGAGCTGCCTAAGGGCCAGGCTTCTAAGCTGCTGAATGTAAATGCTCACACACTCCACCTCCCCAGCCTCCTCCCTCAGCCAATGAAGCAGCAGGGACCTCAGGCAGGACTAATAAGGCTGGGAAGGGAAGCAGGGAGGGGGAGACCTCTGGCTGCAGCTCCCCACTTGGCCTGGGTCTGAGGAGGGAGAGGGGCAGAGAGAATAGGGAGCATCATGGTAAGCTGTGGCTGGGGGCTGGGCAGTGGGCTGTGACCCCTCACCTTCCTCAGCCCCTCCTCCACTGCAGGTCCCGCTTCTGAGAACAGGTTTGCCTGTTCTAGAACGGGCTGGGCTGCGTGCTGCCCACTTACCTTCCTCCCCATACTGGTCATACAGACTCCGCTTCTTGGGATCACTTAGAACATCATAGGCCTCGGCGATCTCCTTAAACTTCTCCTCAGCATTGGGTTCTTTGTTCTTGTCCGGGTGGTACTTCAGAGCCATCTTTCGATAGGCTTTCTTGATCTCATCCTCGTTGGCCCCCGACGGGATCCCCAAAATCTTGTAATAATCCTTCCCCATCACGGCCACTGGGCCTGCACTGGTCTCCTTGTTCCTGAAAGAGACCCAGGCCCGGCCTTGGAGGCGCCTCTCTGTGGAGCCTGTGGGTCCTGGACTCCCAGGGTGACCTTGAGTAGGTCAGGCCTGTCCCCAGCCCTCCAGGCTCCCCATCTGTGAAATGCAAGGTGCTGCCCAGGCAATCTCTTCCCTCTCTGGCATGCTAGCATTCCCCTCCTCCCCTCCTTGGCTTGCTACAGGCTCTTCCCAGCGTGTAGCTGAGGGTTGTGGCCTGCCTCATGGGGCTGAGGCCCCAGACCTGAGGCTGGACCGAGGACCCCTGAGCAGTCCTGCTGGGCGAGGTGGCAGCCTAGACTGGCAGGCCCACACTCAGGGGCTGGCGAAGGTCGGCACCCTGGGTGAGGTCACCTGGGCGGTGTGGCCTCTTACGCCACACCTCAGGCGTGGTGCCCACGCTGAGCACAGCTGGGGCAGTGGCCCAGGACTAGTGACAGGCCTGGGTCCAGGCAGCCAGGCTGAGTCAGGGACGGGAATCTAGAGTCCTCTCTGCCACTGGAGACCCTACACCTCTCTGCTCCCGCCCCCCAGATGAGGCCAAGCTTCACGTGTGACTCAGATTAAGGGTGACTCATGACATTTCCAACACCCTCATTAGCTGGGGGTGACACTGTCCTTCCCCCAGCCTGAGCAGCAGCTGCCTTTACTCATTTCCCAGTGTCTACACACAAGACTGTTCCATAAAGACCTGCTGGGGGCCCCCAAGCATGGGGGGAGTGAACAAAAGCCCGCAAGGAGTGGCCTTCTTTACTTCAGCTGCCAGAGTACATGAACACTACCTGCTGTCTCCCTTTCACCTGCCCCTCCGGTTTAGGATCTGGCTCAGTGCCAGTCCCCCATCCCCTGAAAGCTCCCTGCTAAGCTTTGTAACAGGGCCACTTGTTATGAGGGATTTAGTCCTTCCACTTTTGTCTGCCTCCTTCAGGACCTGTGGTTGATTAGAAGGGAAGGGGGCTTTCCTGTGGCCAGAAAAATCAGGGGTGAGGGGTGCTAGGAGAAAGGATCCACTCCACAGCCCCTCTGACACGCACTCCAGTTGGGCTGGGGGAAGCCGTCTCTAGCAATGACCTGGGTTGCCAGTCACAACTGAGATTCCTCACTCCTGTCTCTGGACTGCTTCACAGCATCATGGGGTGCAGGAGGTCCTGACAGCAATGAGGGTGGCAACAGGGGGTGGTGTGGGGTAAGGGGATGTCAAACCCCAGGTGGGCAGGAACAGTAGTCCTGACTCCCACCCTCCTGCTCTCCCCTGGGGGCCTGCCGCAGGTGGCTGAGTTGACTCACGCCTCTAGGAGTCACCTCTGACGAAGACAAGCCTCTACCAGGGCGGGTACTCCCTCGACGGCCCCCCCCCACCAGCATGTCATGCCTGTGGGGGAGAGTGGGGCTGGGGGAGGCAGAGAAGAAAGAGCATGTGGGGGAAGGCAGCCATTTTCGGAAGCGGCAGCGAAAGCTGTCTGTGAGGGAGCCGGGGGTGGTGGCCCATCACTGCTGCTTCCGCCCACGCTTTCTTTCACCCCTGAGATTGGGAAGGAACCCTATCACCCCAAGAAGGTGTCCCCAGGGACTGGCCACAGCTGCTAGGCAAAAGAAAAGGCGAGTGGCCAGCTGGTACCCTTGAGCCCGGAGCTGTCCCTGTGTTACCCCTTCACCCGACGGCTTCCCTTCCTGGCCCCCTCACCTGCTAGCTCTTCCAGAACAGAATTCCTTGGCCTTGGCAGGCACAGGGCATGGTTCAGGATCTGTCCTTGCCCTCTCCTCTCTCTCTTCTCCTCCCGCCTGCCCTCTCCCCACACGCACGTGTTGCAATGACAAAGGAGCCCCATGGCATGGCCCTGCCTGAGATGGAGAAGCATATCGGACAGGAGGGCAAGCTGGGGAGAGATGGCTGTGGAGGTGCGGGGAGCAGAGAGGGGATGGCCGTCAAGGAAGATGAGGCTCTGCTGAGACAAGAGGGGACAGATGGCCAGAGGTGAGGTCCAGGAGGAGATGGAAACACGGGAGAGAGGACAGGTGCCTGGAAGGTCTGGGATAGGAGATGACAAAGTGGCCACCACTCACCCAGAGGGGCTTCTTGGCATATGGGTCATGAGGATGCCATGCAGATGAAATGGAGGTGGCAAGGAGGCGATGGAGAGGGCGAGCCGTCGTGGAGAACCGGACTTGGCATGGGTGTGAGCGCCCTTCTCCAGAGGGACTTACCGAAACTTCACAAACCCATTCAGCGTCCACGCTCGCAGTTTTAAGGGCTCCAGCTGAATTTTAAACATCAAGCTGGCTAAGAAGTCTTCTCCCCAGAAGTGTGGGAAGCTCCGGGAAGTTCCTCGGGCCTGCAGTGGGGGTGCTGCTGGGGGTGGGCAGGAGAGCACGGTGCGCTTAAACATGCCCAGCCCAAGCCCCTCACCTCGGGTCGCTCCGCGGGAGCCCGCTAGCCGTGCGGCCGCTCTGGAAGCCGCCTCCTCCGGCCCAGCAAGACCCGTCTGCTGCAGCAGGAGCCGGGCCAGATCCCCCACCCCGAGGTGCGGAGGAGAGGGAAGGCAGAGAGGGTCCCGGGCGCGGGCACCGGGAGCCGGGTGACTGGGAGTGGCGGTGCGGCGAAGGGAGGGCGCGCCTGGCAGGGCCAGCGTGTGCTTGCAGAGTGGCGGCGTGGGTACCTGTGACAGGTGCAGTGGCCTGTGAGGGGCCTCGAGAGGCAGGGAACTCCTCCGGGGAGGACCTACTCAATGAAGTCACTGATGGGGAGTGTCCTCCCTCGCCGAGGGGCGGAGCCGGGCTCGGCCGGGACAAAAGGCGCGGCGGGAGGGGAGGGGGCGGTGATGTCACCGGCGCTGGCTGGCGGGCCGCTCGGAACCGCCTCCCCGCCTCCGAACCCAGTGCCTGCCAACCCCGGGCTCCTCCGAGCCCGTCCCGGGTCTCCTCGGTGGGCGCCAAGGCCAGGGCGCGGACACCGGGCGCCTTGCACACCCCCCGCACCCCCCGGGGCAGAAGGACTGGCGGGCCTTCGCTGTCCCAACCCTATGGCCCCTGTGCCCCCCGTTACCCGGCCCCGGCTTCGCGACGCCCGTCCCCGGGACTCCCGAGTCGGGACGCGGCGCCCTCACCAATGAGGAGCTGCGGACGCTGCCGCGATCCGTCAGACACAGCCGCTGTTCCCCTCCCCCGGCTCCGGCTCCGCCGCCTCCACTAGGGACAGGAGTCGCCTGCCCGCCGGCCGCCGACAGCCGGACCGGGAGCCCGCCCCCGGGGCTCCGCCTCCGCGTCGCCCATTGCGCCGTCGGCCCGTCACTCAGCTCCACCTCTGCTGTGATTGGTCTACTTTCAACGAGCGACTCGGCGAAGGCCCACCCCTTCTCCGCCCCTGTCACTCGGCTACACGCGCACACATTCGGGGCAGTGATTGGTGTGGCTGCGATTGGTGCCCTCTGGAATCAATCAACCACACCTCTTCGCCGTCTCGTCGCGTCATTGGCGGAAGGGACAGTGGGCGGTAACCGTGTCTGCCCTTTGATTTTATTGGTTGTGGCCTGAGATTCAGACTCGAGCTGGGGACAAATATATGAGTCCAATCTGCAGTTTGAGAAGGTGGGACGTACTGGCCACCGCTTGAATCCCGGGAGAACCTTCTGGAACCCGTGCAACGTCAAAGTCAGCCTTAAAGGAAAACTGCACCCACCAGTGGGCCCTAACCCCGGGCGTCCTTTCTCTTTCTGTGTTCCTGGCAGGAGGCTGGCCTGAGTGCGAGCTCAGTGCCCTCTAAGTGGTATAGTTCCTGAGCCAGGCCAAAAAGTCACCCCTTCTTTACCTGTGTGGGGTCGAACCTCGAGCCGGCTTGACCTGGCTCAGCTCTCCCTGCCCGTGGCTTTGACCTGAGGTGACCCTAACTGAATCTGCCGACGGAGCTCGAGCTGGCTGTCCCCAGATGCAGTCCCTCCGGGAATCCTCGAGTGCCCTTCCCTCCCCGGGGCGCGCGTGGGCGCGCGGTGGACCTGTGCTTCCTCTGCCTCCCGGCCCCAGGCCCCGCGCCTTCTCGCCCTTTCCAGGACTTTCTTCGGGCCCTGGCGACTCTGCCTGTCCCCGCACGCCGGCCCTCCAGGGTTGTCTGGTCACCCCCACCCCACACCTGTGGGCGCCCCTGCCCCTGGCTCCCCTTCCTCAGCACCCGCAGAGCCCCGCGTCTCTGCTCAGACACCCCCGCCCCCCAAACTCTGAGGCCTCAGCCACAGTGTCCCCGCCGCTCGCTCGGGGCGGGCGGGGCTGCGGAGGCGGTCGCCGGCGGAAGCCGCCGCTCCGGCAGACGCGGAGCCTGGCGCCCACGTTACCGTCTCCCAGGCCCATCTGTGCTCCGGGGAGCGGGGGTGGAGAGGGGGTAATCTGGGGGTGAAGGGGAGGAGGAGGGAGTTCTAGGTGGCGGTGCAGAGCTTGGTGACAGAGGAAGGGCCTGGGCAAAGCTCGGAGTCTGGACACACAGGGTCCTGCCGAATGGACAGAGCCCCAGGGGGAGTAGGAGAGGGGTCCTCGGGATGCTGGCGTCTCCATGGCGACCCGCTTCCTTCCAGGACTCACAGGGCAGCTGGTGCAAAGGAGGGATGTGTGTGAGAGGGGAGACTGTGAAGAGATTGGGGAAGGGGTAGATGGGGCCATGGGATTGGAGGAGGGGAAGTGGGGTAGAGACAGAGTAGGGGACAGAGGAAATGAGAGGATGAGGAAGGAAGGGGATGGAGTGGCCCAACAGCAGAAGGAGGATAGATGAGGTGAGGAAGGGAGGGGAGATGAAGTTAGGAAGGGAGGGGAGATGAAGTTAGGGAGGGAGGGGAGATGGAAGGAATGAAGGAGGGGAGATGGAGTGAGGACACAGGGTGGGAAGGGACAGGGTGAAGGGGATTGAGGAAGGGAATGGTGTGATGTGGAGTTGGAATGTTGGGGAGGGACCCCCAGGCTCCCTGGAGGCCAGGTGGTAGCTGGCTCAGCATCTCTCCCTGGCTGTTGGTCTCTTTTGTCTCCTCTTCCAGCCTGGCCTTTGCCTAGCCTGGGACAGAGTTTAGGCACCAGCTCTTAGCTGGTCCTGCTGAGGCAAAATGTAGGCCTGAACCTTGGCAGGTACAGGGTTATGCCTCCCAAGGCCTTGGTGGCACAGCCTCTGCCTGCCATCTGGTCCACTGTTGCCACCTCTTATCCCTTGCCTCCGGGCACCAGGTATGTGTATGTGTGAGGAACCCAGGGACACTGCCCAGTGAAGCCTGGAAGGATGTGGACCTGGACTCAGACTGTCCACAGTGGAGGCTGCCTGCCATCCTTGCCACCTCTGCTTCACTGTACATGGGGACAGGTCACAACCCTGCCTCTGGAGCTGCTGAGAGAATGAGTGGTCACACGGGTCACCATGCAGCGTGGTATGTGGTTACCACTCAGCTACAGTAACCAGCACCCTGGCTGTTGGCCGGTATTCAGGATTGCCAGCGCCTCTGTAGATGTGTAAGTCGGGGAATCACTTGCACCATTGTATTGGTACTATGGTTGTGAGTGGGAGCCTGTCTGCATAATTCTTTTTGTGGGCTTCATTCTGTGTTGTTTGCTATAGGAATGTGATCTTGTGCGTCGGTATGTGTGATTAAGTGTCAGGGCTGGTGGGGTGGAGGGGTGGTGGTGGTGGTAGCAGGTGTCTACAGGACAAAGTTAATGGCATGGCCCTGTGGACACCATGTCTGCCACATGTCCGTGCACATCTGTGATCCTGTCAGCTGGAAACTCCCTCCCTCCCTCCCATGGAGACGTCATCACCCTAGGTGTCCCTCTTTTCCTCACCCTGAGGGAACCGGAACCTGTGGGCAGCGGCAGGAGTGGGAGCCAGAGAGGAGGTGTTTATAGACAGGGGTGCACATTCCCTCCCAGACTGTGCAGGGGAGGGGGAGCCAGCATCTTGCACACAGCCCAAGGCTGGGGAGGAAGTGCCCCCAGCCTCTTCTCAGTGCGCTGTCTTGTCACCATGGCAGCAGTTGCTAGGGTCTCCACGGTTGCCAAGAGCTGGGTGTGGGAAGCTGCCAGGCCCTGTTGCCAATAGAAACAGAGAATCCTTGGGTGGGTGGAGGGATGATTGCCCTCACAGCTGCCAGCCCCCTCCAGGGCTATGGCTGGCCCTTGGGCACTCCTTTCAGTGTACTGATGCTGTGTGTGTGGTGGCTCTGGGGTAGGTTGGGGTTGGCAGGAAGCTAGATTGGAATACTGGGTTCTGCCTGCAAAGAAAAGGGCTCCTCTTCTTCATTTTTTACATTTGGAGGGCCAAGACGGTCAGTGACATGCTCTTGCTGTCCTTTGTCCCTCGGGCCCCTCTCCGGGGGAGATGTCCCCTGCTGAAGTCCTCCAGGGACCCAGTGCTTTCCCAGAAGGCCACCTTGACTTGATGTCTGGGACTTGCTTCTTCTTGTGGTCAGGCCCACAGCAGGTCACCACACACACTATGGGCTGACTCCTGAGCCAGGCTCTGGTCCTGTCCCGAATGAATCCCAGCCTTGGCCTCAATCTGAAACATTGCGGTTCCCCTGCCTTGTTTAAACTGGCCATCTGATTCATCCCAGCTCAGTCAATCATGAACAGGACTCAAAATTCAATAAATGCATGTAGCAAGGCAATTTTTCATAAAAAGATTCATTTATTTAACTTGAAAGAGTTAGAGGGAGAAGCAGAGAGACCCCTGCTGTAGGCAACTGCCTGGGTTGCCTTGTACCTAAGCAAATGTGGCACTGTTGGGAGAAAAGCAGCCTGATAGGTATTCTGGGCCTGGTTAATGCCAGTTCTGTATTAACTATACCAGTGTGCCAGCATAGATGAAGGGAACTCTGCAATGGGGATTGGGGGAAGCTGGGTCAGGATATATCACCCCTGAACCCAGGCGTGCCGTGTGCCGTGTGCCGTGCAGCACCAACAGGGTGAGATGTGCTACAGGCTGTCCTGAGAAGGGGGTCTGGGGATTCGCTGCAGTGGGGGCTGCTAAAGACATGTTTGGTAGGTGAGGACTGACTTTGGGGCCTTTCACGGACTGGGCCACTGCATTGACAGGTAGTGAGGGAACAGAGACAGGGTGGTTTAGAGGGGGGAGCCACACGGCTTGTCTGGGTCAGGCCAAGCATCTGCCCACATAGGAGACCTGAGCTGGGCTAAGTAGCACTGCCCTCTGTCCACTGGCACACAGGAAAGCTAGGGCTGGGAAGTATGCCTGGCTGGGCTAGGCCAAAGTATCTGCTGAGTATCGAAGCAGGGGATGGATGGACCACATCAGACTGCGCAGCAGGACCCACTGGAACATGAGAGAATCAGATGTGTGGGCAGAGAATCAGATATGTAGGAATTTGTGGGATTGTAGCATCCACCTGTTTGCATAGAGAGCTGGGGGTGGTGAGGGGCTGAGTCAGGCAGAACTGCAGAACTTACTTGGCACGTGTGGGAGCTGGGGCTGAGCCAAGCTGCAGTGCTCCCAGCACATTCAAAGGCCTGGATTGAGGGCAGACCATGCCAAGGAGAGCTATGGCATCTGCTGACATGTATGAAAACCGGAATTCAGAGTAGGCCTGTTGGAGGAACCTGGAGAACTTCTCTGCTAAGCTACAGTTCATGCTGAGAGCCAGGTCTGAGGGCAGGCTGCGTTGGGCCAGGCTGCAGTACATACTGGTACATGTGAGAGACATGTCAGGGTGTTGGCCAGGCT